CACTGGTTCTTTCCATAGCTGTATCTGTTCTGCAAATAAAGGTTCAATACTCCGTTCCCTTACTCCTTCAAAACCATCTTCCTTTCAATGGAAAAGGAAAAAGGCAGCAGTCATTCTAACAGGAATATCTGTCAGTTGCAACATTAGCTTGTAGTTAAATCTGTCAATAGTCCTCAGCCCAGAAGGGTTGTTTGTTTGTTTCAAAGGTAAGTTTCAAAACACCAATTGCCCACATAGGATAATAGACGTAAAGTGAGAAGCCTCTGCATTGATTTGAGTGATCTACATTGAAGTGAGCATCAAGTCAGATCACCAATTCATAGCTTAAAACCATCGCACTATGGCATTTCACTGCCATCAACACGCAGCATCTATTCTGCCCTATGTCTGGCAGACTAAAAAGTAGGTAGCATAAAGATCCATTAGGATATCTCTCAAGTTTGCAACTAATTTTACACAAATCTGTGATCTGTAAGCAGGATGCTCTTCCCCTTCACCCTCAGCTCATGTGTATCTTCTTGCTTTAAATTCTAATGAATAATTAGTTGATTCTTTCCCCAGAGAACTATCAAACATGTATTTTCTCTTCTCCCCTAATGCCTTCTAGCATGATCCAAAAACTCCCTTATTCTTTTACTAACATAGGCACTCTCTGAAACTAAAACCCCCACAAACTGTAAAAAGCAACATGTGGGTCATGTTCCATCAGCACCATACTATTTCTGCCAGTAAAACAATGAATATGTTGGTTTTGTCTTACTTCAAGAGAAATACTAAGCCTGAAGCAAAACCTTGTCATGGAATGAGTTTAACACCATTATAATGTATTCCTAATTTAGCAGCATCTAGAATGACTTCTAACAAGCAGGGAGACAGATTAACAGAATGTGAAGAAAAGTAGCATTTCCTTATCTCAAACAGGCAAACTAATAACTAAAATGGAAATAAGGTAAATCCAGAAACAAAGCAAGCAAACAAGCAAAAAGGCAAGAAATATAATTAGTTATAATGTGAAAACTGGGGAAAGAGATTTTTTAAATTTAATTTGTTACCCACTACTATTGGGCAGTAGTCCCCATTACAAACTGTAAGGAACTTGCAGCATCATTGCACGAAAACCTGAAATACCTACAGAAACTAATAGCAGCAACTGTCCCTACCTTCTTAAATCCTATAGGTAATTTCATGTCCCAGTCCCTCTCTTCACTTTTCTTACTGCAACCAGAACTGCAGTAACTTCTTAGCTGGACAGGCAAGACAAGGTTATCACTTTCAAGATCCTGAAATCAGTGCTAATCCCTTTACCAGTGACAGGGTAGAAGAGCTCATAGCCATCAAACTGATGGCACCTCACTGGTGTACATAGCTCTATCTCACACAGCTGAAGAACCTCATCATGAATGACAGCATTCTGGGTACTAAACAGCAAAATAAACCAAAACAGAACTATCACATAAGCAGCATGTTTAACTGGAATGACTGTTTTAACTCTTGTTAAACCTCATGGGATTTGTAAGCTAGTGCCATAACATGTTTAAATAAACAAATAATCTAAAACAAGTGGCTTCAAGCTAAACCAGAGTTGTACATTCCCAGAGCAGAACTGGTCAACTATGGATGGTCAAGGACAGGTACAAGAACAAGGCAAGCACATCACTGCCCCTCCTGAAATCCCACAGATCCTGGAACCTCCAAGATTTGCAGCTCTGAGATCTTTTGAGCTAGAAATCACATTGCTGTGGTTAACCGATTTTTCTTCCACAGCGCCAGCACTGCAATTTAAGACCGCTCTAACTGGAGTTAGAACTTGCTGGAATACTTAAAAGCCACTACAGCACTGCAGGACACTCTGAATTCCCAAACTCGGGGCGAACAAACTCTTACAGCAACCCAGCTCCAATCACTTCAACCCCCTGAAGTAGTACCTAGACCCAGCTGTAGTTTTTCCACGGACAAACATCAAACATCGGAGAGTGTGCTGTCTCAGGTAACACAGTCCTTTGGGTACATTTACTGAATGTTTTTCTCCCCAACTCTTCACACTGAGAAACCATAGCCTTTTTCCTAAGAAGAAATAGACCCTCACATCATCATCAAGAACTCCGATTAGCAGGAATTACAACAGGAGCTTAGGTATACAGCTCATTGGTATTTCCTAAGCAACTTTAAGTCATAAATATTAAAAAAAAAAAACCAAAACCAAAACCATAAACTTTATTTTGACAAATTCTTTTGGTGCGGTTTCTTCTTTTTTTTTTCTTTTTTTTTTTTTTTTTTTAATGCATTACTACAATGGTGAGCATCTTTCACAGTTTGTTCTTATCTGACACTAAAGATCCAGCACCAACGTCCTGAATTTGTTCGGGGCAGGTTTCATCTCGGACTGTCCCGGCCCCGTTCTGAGCGCTGCCCCCCTCCCGGGATGCGGCAGCCCGTCCGTCCCTTCCCGCAAAGCCGCAGCCTCTGGGACTCCAAACCGCGCATCCCCGCACGGCAAACTTGCTCCCCCCTGTCTCCGGCTACGGAGCGGGCGCTAAGTCGGGCAAGCCGGGTCGCCCGGCGGCCATGGGGAGGTAACACTAACGCAGCCAAGGGGCTGCCACGGCACACGCAGCCCGTCAGCGGCGCAAGGGCCCGGCGACGGCTCGGTCCCGGGGGCGGAGGAGGCCGGGCAGGGCCGCTTGCCCGCGGGGAGGCGCTGGGTCAGAGCGGCCCGACCTAACGCCGTCTCTGCGGGACGCGCTGCCGCCGCCGAGCCCCGCCGCAGAGGATGGGCCGAGTTCCAACCCGAGCACCGCGGGGCGGCCCCGACCCAGCCCCGCCGCCCCGTTACCTGCGCGCTCCGGCCCCGCCGCCGCCTCCGCAACAAAGCCGCGGGCGGGCGGGGGGAGGGGCGCGCGCGCCCGCCGCCCTCGGGAGCGCGCGGCGGCGGGGCCGCGGCCCGGGGGCGGGGCGAGGCGGCGGGGCCGGGGCGCGGCGGTGGCGCCGCCCTGCGGGCGGGAGAGGCGGCGCGGCGGGGTCGGGCGGGGCCGGGCGGGGGCGGCGGGCGGGGCGCTGCTCGGGGGTCTCTCCGGCCCGTCCCGCCCCCGCACAGCCAGCTGTGGTTTCCTTCTCGGCTGTTAGCGCTGGCGGGCTGCCCAGGATGGACGGACTTTCCCACTAAGGGACGCAGTAACCACAAATGGAGTGACAGACCCTGCCAGGGATATTGAGGAAAAGAATGGAGTGGTGCTCATGGTTTCGGAAGAGGCCATATGGAAATAGGATTAAGCCTAGAAGTGCTTTAGGAAACCTGCACAGTGGGAAGGTTGCCCTTTGTGGGGGAGGAGGGAGGGGTGGATGGAAAATAAGGGAGATATGCCAAAGAGACTTCCAGTTGCGGAATTGAATTAGGGGGCATAGATTTGGAGTTTGAATACTATGACACAACCTTAATAGTTTCCTAACAATAGCAGAGGTTGTTTGTTTTTTTAAGGAGCAGGTGTTATGCTACTGTGTGAACATCTATGTAACTTACATGCACTCTGACCGTTATTCTCTTTGATGCAGGGACACATGCAGAAAACAAATTTATCTGACCAGTTTCTGCACTCTGATGAACTCCAAGCTCTCTTTGCTGACGAAATACTGCAGCAAAGTCCACCTTAATACTAGATTTGCTATTTGTACCCAAGAGAACATTGCACAAGGAGACCTATATCTCTGGAACAAAAAAGTGGTGATGCTTCAGCATCTGCTTTTTGATGATAGGGAACACTGGAGACTTGATCATCCAGGAGTATTTATTGAGCAGCATTATCAAGGAGCCAAAACAAGGGAACTAACGCAAATGCTAATGAAACATTGAAGTTAAGATTTTAATTACTTAAAGGTCAGCACATTCAAGTTTTATTAATTTAAGGGAGTTATTCTGTATTCCCACAGCAATCTGCACTCAGCTCCTATATAGATCAAAAATTCATGTTATTGTTTATTTGCTGATGCATTCAAGTGATATAGCTGAATACTATACCTGACTATTATTCATTTTTGCAATTAGGGTCATGGTCTTTTAACATTTTATTAACACTTCTCTGTTAAGTGTTAATATTTCCTACGTTCCCATCCTTTTCAGTAGCAATAAACCCGTTGTTTTCCTCTAATCTTTGTACATTACAAAAAGCTACATTTCCTTTCAAGGCTGGAAGCTCTAGTCAGTTAGCAACAGTTGTGGCTAAACTATCACAAAACACGTGCAGGCACTCAGCAAACTAATGTATCAGAACAGCCCTCTGAACTGTCTTGCCCATCAATGGTGCTGCCTCTGGGACGAGCCCATGCTGCCCCCACGTTCTACTCGGGCATCTTCTGGAAAAGCAGAAATTGGCCTTGCCGAAAGCAGTGCTGGGGGCTGTCCGCAATGGCATTGACTATGTCCCACTACTTCCAGCCCGTGCCCTGTCACCGTTTTGTTTACTAAGATGGGCCCACAGGTCCGTGTAACATGTAATAGTTACTCTCTAAGTGACAACATACCCGTGTCCTTTGAACATCAAAGAGATGGAACCAAGCTTTAGACTAAAGGTTTTTAAAGGACAGTAGGCTTCAAAAAGACAGCCTGTGAGCACAGCGGCACCAGCGACCCTTCCTAGACGTTGAGGAGCAGAGGATGTGCGGTGTTAGCTGGGTCCCAGCAGCGGTGGGGGAGCAGGATGTGCGCTGTATACACCAGCCCTTGGCGGGAGTGTACGACCCGAGCCCGAGCAGGCGATCGGCTGCCGTCCCCCGCCGACCCGCTGACAGTGCCATAGCCTCGCTCCCCGCCCCGGCCTGGGCGATCGCAGCGCCGGCCGTCCCGGCTCTGTCCTAACAGAGAGAGGCTGCCGCTTTCCGGCTAGAAGCGATCGCCGGTAGCTGCGAGCCCGTGCCGTGCCCGGGGCCGCCCTCTGCCCGGGGCCGGCTGCCAAAGGCCGCCGCGGGGCCGCGCAGCCCGGCGCCCCCGCCCCCGGCGTTCGCGGCTCCCCCTCCCGCCCGCAGATAACCGCGGCCCCTCAGGCTCTTCCCCACCCGCCCAGGACTCGGCCCCGGCTCCCAGCCGCTCTCCAGGCGCCAGCTCCCTCTCGTCGCCGCCGCGGCGCGGGCAAGGATGGCTCGGCAGCCCCGGGGCTTTCTGCAGGAGGCCTCTCACCAAGTCGTCGCCGGAGGCTCGGCGGGTGAGTGCGCGCGTTCCTCGTGGGCGGGAAGGGTCTGCCCGTCCCCCGCCGGCGCTCCGCCAACTTGAGGCGCAGGCGGCTGCGCCGCCTCCCCCTCTCCGCGCCGCTCGGGCTGCGGGGAACGAACGGGCTCAGCGGCGGCTCCTCCCCCGCCGGACGGCGCGGGCGGGCTCCGGAGGAGACCCAAGCACGGGGGTCCCGGAGCAAGTCCTGTAACGGTGTTCGGCCCGCCGGCGGGGCAGGGGGGTGCAGGGGCGCTCCCGGTTTCCGCCGTGTATCTGCGCCACACACGCCCTGCAGCCCCTCGGGCGATAAGAGTGGCGGGCGGGCCCCTTCAACGGCCGAAGCCGCCGGTGTCCTGCAGCACAGCCCCCCCGAAGGGCTAGAGCCTCCTCGGGGGAGTCCATGGCCGGGATCCGCCTCCAGCGCCTGGACACGGGACAGAAAACGTAGTTGCCCTGCTCAGAGTCCTTCCCCGTGACACTCTTCGTCGCTGAGTTACAGAGAAACCAATGCAGGGCTGCAGTGGAAATGCGTTTCTGTGGGGTTCTTGAAATACTTTTAGGAATGTCGACATTACTCATTAATTTGTAGTCTGTTTGTACTGCAAACTACAAATGTCAAAATCGTAAACATCTGTTTAGTAATGAAAGCGTTTCTGGTCAATTTCTTCAGATTTCTTACCTAAATCCCAGGGAAACTGAAATATTTAAGTCAGCCTGCAGTGCAGGGGATTTTAACACAATATCCTGCTCTTTCAGTCTGCATATGTTAATATTTCAACTATGTAGTGTGTTTTTAAGTGTTCCTTAGAGTCTCTTCTGAGGTCTAAATGCTGTTTGTCATATTATGTTTTACATGAAAGAGAAGAGCTACATGGTAGTGGTGCTGTGTCTTATGCTTCAGTGTAATGTGCACAAGAAAAATTCTCTTGTGATTGAGACCTGTGTAGCCATGACATTACATGTGAGCTTGTCTTCCATTCCCTCTAATTCCCCTTGTACCTCTAAATCCACTTCTATGCATTCCTACCACCAACACACATTTGAGCAGTTTGATTTCATGCTAGTGGCTCTGTATGCCCTTTGTTTTCAGTCTTCTTCTTTGACAGTGAGAGATGTCATAGCAGAAGTGGAGAAGTCTGGTGTCCCAGTGTATTGTATGACTGCTGTCCCCACCCTTCCAGCGTATTGTATGACTGTTTATGTAGCTTTTCTGCAGCCTCTGAAATTCTAAAGGTTTTTTGGATTCTGCTTGGTACCACCCCTATCTTCCTATAGGAGAGAATGGAAAGGTTTAATCTGTCCTAGACTGTTGAAAACCCTTCATACCTGAAGGGATACTGAGGTGTTTTGCCACCAGATGTTTTGCAAGATGACAGATTTATCTGCCCTTAGCAGTTGGCTTGTGCCTTAGTGATTCAGATTGATCTAATGCACTGTGTTACCATCCTCTGGTAGGAGCCTTTTTTTGTTACAGGTTCTCTTTGTAGAAGAGATTGCCTAACACCACAGAAAGAAAATTCCCATTTAGATAAATGAAAAATATTTGGTAATCTGGTAAACATCAGTATTAGGGTGAGAGAATTTTCAAGGAGACTATTGATCTGCATGCAACACTTAAAAAAAAAGTACAATGTGAGAGGCCTGTTGTGTCTAGTCCAGTGACATAATGTTACGGATGCTTGCAACCTTTTGCTTAATCTCCTGTCAGGCAGGCAAGTTCCCTAGCTGCATCACTTGCCTTAAATTTTTACAGAAATCTCTATTAATTGGTTTTGAAATAAACCAGTAATAATTTATTAGCTAAGTCTGAGCAACACTAAAATTGTACCAGGGGATTTTGAGATGTGTGCTTCAAATGGGAGCTATAAAGTGTGTTAGATGGAAATGGCTGAAACTTGAAAACTTGCTTGACAGATGCTTAAAACTCAGTGGTGTTTTTTTTCCTGCTAATTTATAGAGGAAGCAAAAGGTGAAGGCTGGAGTTTTGAAGTCTTCAGACTAAAGGTTAAGTTTCTTAGGCAAGTGTGGATACAACATGGAAAAGGTGAAAGCAAGGAGAAAAGGATTGAGTTTGTTTCCTGACCTTAGTTTCCCAATATTACTTTGACCATCCTATATTGCTTTTGACTGTCTCTGCAGGAGGACATAGGACTCTTTAGGTGTTTTGTTCTGTTTCCTGGCCTCAACTGAATGCCACAGACATCCTAGAGTGACTTTGCTGTCTGTACCACAGCCTGGTATTTAGAAAGAAAACCAACCAACCAACCAACCAACAAGAAAACATACCAAAAACCCAAACAAAACAAAAAACCCCAACAAAACAAAACCCCTCAAAAACCCCACCCCAAACCAGACATAAATTAGTCTTAGTTAAGCTGGTTTCTAGGAAAGATGAGTTGGACTCTGTCAAAGCAATGGTAGGAAAGTGCTGAGGTGGTTGGGAATGAATGGCACAGCCCAGTAGGTGTAATTGAAAGGTCAGAAATATTGCCTGCATAAGTAAAATGAGAGGTTATTTAGTGTCTACATGTCTGATGCAAAAGGATCTGATAAGAAGTAATTCTGCTAGGTTGAGTGGAAAATTATTAGAGATAAACCTAAGCTGGCAGAACAGGAAGAAAGGGATTTTTTGACGCTTTGTGGGAGATGACAGGACTTGTTCATGGACTTACTAAGACAGGGGAAGAGAAAGAAAGAAATCAAGCATGACCCCTAGTCTACAGGACTGATAAAATGGAAGATACTGGCATGCTGGAAGAAGGAGAAAGGAAAGTGTTCAGTGTTTTAAGAGAAAATATATCAGCATACTGTTGGCTGTCAGAGGCATTGCTAAGTTAAACTTGAACAGCTCTCTGCTGTAGCTGAACTGTAAAAGTCAGGCATGACAGATCTCATGCATACTTTGTCTGTGTCAAGGGGTGTGTCTGCTTTCATGTGGCTTTAATCTGACTTCATGTGAAATGGAAAGCTCTGCTTCCTGAGAGTGAATGAAATTTTAAATATGAACAAAGTCTTACACAGTCTTGGCTTATGTTACTTCTGCTGGCATTGTTTACTCCCATCTTTCAGATTCCTCAATGAAGGTTAATAGCATAATTCAAAATACTTGGTTTTGTTGCTTGCCTGGGTGTATGACAATAGTGAGGAAAAGGACTTTGATTGAAACCTAATTGGGACACTTCATTAGTGAGTTCAGGCCATTCTAGTACAGGGAACTGCAGGCATGTTCCTTTTCTCTAGTGGTTAATTAGTAAGCTAAAGCATGTGTGGAATTTATAGCAAAAAAATGAAACAGAAAATCAACTCTAAACTGTAAGGATCATTGTGAAAAGAGCAACTTGGGAGCTTCTGATTTCCTTTGATTTATAGGAGTTCTTCAAAATGTTATTTGAGAAGCTCAGTCAGTACAGGGTTCAAGTCACAAGAAGAATTGTTTCTCTAAAATAAAAAGATCAAAAAAATCCTTGTTTTGCCTGCCTGTATGGAAAAGGCAGAAATTAAAACAATAGTGTTGCATATAAAGTCAATGGATATTTCCTCATAGAGAGGAACTGAATAGTGCAAAGTATGTTATGTGATACCCAGATTAATTTGTCAAGACATACTTCTAACAGGGTGTTGAGTCAGTTTGAATGATGAAGTGCAAATGTCATAAACAATTGCACAGATACCCATGGCACAGTGAAGGCTGGTGGCTGCATATAGTTACCCTGAAGGTTTTAGGATGCTTCTGTTTGATATAGGCATGTTTTTGTTTTTTTAATAACAAAAGATCACAGATGGAAACAATTAGCTAAAACCACACGTAACATAAATAAAATTTAATTATATTTAGTTGTATGATAACCTCTCTTTCTTCCATACATGTATAAATAACCTATACACATTTTAAATTTTGAAGTTAAAAATTTAAGTAATTTATTTAATATATTTAGCAAGTGATAACTAGATGACTTGTTTTTCAGATCTGTAATGTTTAACCAACCTTTAAGTACTTTTCTGCTGAAAATTAGGTATGTCTCTTTGCCTAATTCCATTTAATAAATGAACATGAACTGCAAAATTAATTACTGTAAAATTAATATGGAAAAGTCAGAACAAAATGAGCTTTAAAAAAAACCAATTACTTCATAGGGATAATTCAGGCTGATCTTTTTTCCCCCCTATTCTTCATGTTTTCATGAAACAGCAGGGCTTCTGCCTCTCTGTACTTCTCGGCTTCAATTTTTTAATATTTTTTAAAATTCTTTTTTAAAGAGTTAGGTTTCCAGCTGCATTGAAACCTAATAGGATTTGGGAGTCTAATTTTCTTAAGCTCCTTTGAAAGTCCCAACCTTTTCTCTTGAGAGGTGTTTTATTTCAGGAGTAGACAAAGTTGATTAACCTGGATAGCATCAACTTCTTTGAACCAGATCTCCAAGCAGGAAAGCCACTCGTCAAACAAAGACTGTCAAATGCAGATACAGTATTAAAACCAGTGTTTGGTCTTCCTGTTGCAAGAGGCATTAGGCAGACAAAAATCATTACAAGGAACACTAGCCAGCATAATCTGTGAAACACCTTAGGTTACTTGGTCCCTATGAATGGGAGAGGGAGTGTGATAGATGTACAGGAAGCACTTGAAACAGCAGGAAAATTGTCTAATTATTGTCCTCCCTCTCACTTGTTTTTATTTTTATGACAGTTTTCTGGGAGTTAAAGTTAGGAGGAGTATTCTGTGTTTTCTTGGGTGCTTTTTTCTTCCTTTTAAGCCATGCAATGGGCATTCACATGTTACTAAAATAATTGGTTAATGCTCAGAGGTAATTTCATCTAGCTAAGTACTTAGCTACACCTTGTAACTTTCTTGACTTGAAACCATAAAATTTTAATGTACTTAAACCTTCCTTTTTCCATTTCTCTGAAGTCACTTAAGGCTGAAATATTATCTGCGGCCACAGTTGATGCTTGGTGTCTTTCACTGCCTTGATCTGGTATTTCAGATGTTTGCAAACTCTTTAAATTAAAAAGCTAAGGATGGGAAGCTGTCAAAAAGTAATAATTTTAAGAAATATTCTACAAGTTAAAGTGCTCCAAAGGAATGCACTAGAAGCAACCAATTAAGCCAATCTTCTCTGCTAGTCTGAGAAATTTATAGCGTGCCAACTTGGTGTTGGACTTGGACATTTGGATGGGAGTTGCTTGGTTGGCAATATGGTGAAGAGAAGTTTGGGTAA